GCTCCCACCCCGCTCCCTCCGGGGCTCCCGCCGTGGGGCGCAGCCCGTTCTCGGTCCTTCGGCGGCCGCCCTTGTTCTGTTACCCCATTCAAAGGGAAATTGACATGACGTGTGAAGAAAAGTGTAGATAATTTTTACAATTATTTACGCATCAAACAAAAATACTGTAATCTACAATGTTAAAAGTAGAAAACGTGAATGACCTATGGGGAAATCAAGATAACGTTTGCGTAGATCTGTTCATCACGTTAAATGTATAGTTAGTTTAGTATAATTACGGTAGAAACCTCCGCGACGGCTCGCAGGCGGGAAGACCTAGAACCCCGCGCGAGCGCCGTCTGCCCGCGGCTGCGCACATGCGCACGCGCGGGTCGGGCCGGGGATGCGCAGGCGCGCACGCGCGGGTCGGGCCTTGCGGAGCTGCTGCCTGCGGCCGCGCGTAGAACCCTGGAGCTCCCGCAGCGGCGGGGCGGGGCGCGGCTCCCGTCAGTTTATTGCGGAAACGCTGACACTCAGATTAATAGTCATATTTTAAAAGAGTGTTTCGCAGAACACGGCAAATGTTGCAAGGAGTGCTGGGTAAGCAGTGAGACGCCCTCTGAAGAGCGGAATGACCTGGAAGACACACAAGCGTGTTTCCACGCCCGGCGTCCTCACCGTGCTCAGAGGGGGTAAACTGTTACAATACCGTCTTCCTTTTGGCTAATAATGCCCCCAAAAAACGTGCCAACCAGAACAGACCCCCAGCTACGCGGCTGAAACAAGTACCTAATGAAGCCGAATTACTGACCTAGTAGCACCAAAGACTCAGGCCCTTTCCTCTAACAGGGAAATAAAAGTCGTCACCTCAACTCTGAACGTCACGCTCACAGGCAGAGCGTCGGGGGAAAATAAATACCAGCCACCCTGTCTTCTCAAACTCTACTCCTTCTGTAGCGTGTGCATTTTCATGTAAGTGTAGAAATAAGTTATCCGCCGGGCGTGGTGGCGTACGCCTCTAATCCCAGCACCCGGGAGGCCTGAGGCAGGGGCATCGTTGTGAGTTCGAGACCAGCCTGGGCTACAAAGTGAGCTCAAGGCCAGCCTGAACTGCATAGCGAGAGCAGGGGCATCGTTGTGAGTTCGAGACCAGCCTGGGCTACAAAGTGAGCTCAAGGCCAGCCTGAACTGCATAGCGAGACCCTGTCTCAAAAAGACAAAAAAAAAAAAAAAAGAAAAGAAAAGAAAAGAAAGAAAGAAAGAAGTTATGATGTTACATCTGATAATAAGCTATAGAGGTGAAAGTTTTCATAACGTGTTGCCGTGGTGACATGGCTTCAGAGAAAACCCATTTCTCCACTGCTTTTTTTATTTGCTTGGCGGGGGTGATTGAGAAGCAGACCGCTGCACTACAAGGGCGTCTTCATCTGGTGTGTGGGCTGTCTGAAAAGCAGGTTGTACACTAAGGCACATTAGAAAAGCTTCAGCACGTTTTTGTGTATTTTTGTACTGAAATATTACACAATATTACGCAGCTTTGTCACGGTTCCATAAGCCCTTCCTTGTGGTGCTGGGGCTTGTACCCCCGGCCTTGTAGGTGCTGGGCAAACGCTCTGCTCCGGAGCTGCATCCCCAGCCTTCCTGGTCCACGTGTTGCGTATGTTATTTCTCTTCCCAAAAAAGAGTGTAGTGTGTCTCCTTCCTCTGTTATACTCCCCGATTCCATGAACTGAGAATACTCCGGCTTGGAGGTACACTGAACTCCTCAAAAAGCCTAGCTTCCTTTTTTGCCTTCTTTGTGAAGAGCTCGACTCCCTCGTCTGATCTTCCTTCACAGTCATATTAATAAAAATTAAAAATAAAATTAGATTTTTATAATTTCTTTAACATCTGTTGTTCCTAAAGCCAAACACATAATGAAGAAGTCTTTACAAGCCCTTGCTACTGTGACACATTTTTGATTAATTAAATTTATTGGTACATTTTGGCTATACATAATGATCACATCTATCGTAGGGAATTTGTACCTGTACCTGACACATCTTGATTCTTCCTTTCCGCCATTTCCCCCACACCCTTCAACCCCTCTGCCCCTCCCTATTTGCAGAAGCTTAGCTGACTTACTGGGAAGTGTTTACCAGGTTATGAAGCCTTTCTGTACCTCTGCCACAGAACACGGCGTGAACGCCCTTTGGGAGCGCCTCAGCTTTGCAAGGTCTCGGCCTCTGAACAAGCTGTGTCCAGGAAGCAGCGGCTCTGCATGGAAATCAAGGCTCCTGCACTGAGAGCCCATGGAAAGACGCCCCCCTCATCAGCATGCTACAGGCAGAGGAAGGACCCGGAGAGCGTCCAAAGGGCGAACTCTCACTTGGTAGAACCCAGAGAAACACACTGAATTACCTCAGCACCAACTGAGTGGATTTACAAAGAAGCAGAATGTCTATTTATTTGGATGGGGCAGAGAAAACAACTAATTTGTCCAAAAGTAATCAAGAGATATTTTTAGTTTGGCAAAATTAATTTCAAAGGCATGAGATCCGAGGAGACTGCCTGTTAACTGCGTCTTGTGGAGAGTCAAATTTCCCCAAATCTCCACCTTTATTCAAATTGTCATAGATGGTACAGTAATTGCTGTCTCCTCCCTGCACCCTCCAGAGGCCAGTTACACCTTTTTCCTTCGATTCCTCTGTGGTTGCTGAAGGGTTTTGTCTCGGGGGCTTCAAACGGCAGCACAGTGAGCCAGGAATCCAATGAGA